CTTGATCAAATAAAAATCTAGCATTTTCCTAATTTCAAGTCTTGGCAGATTTTAGCAATTTTACACAAGTCAAGCAATCAATCTACATATGCAATTCTAAAAGTATAGCAGCAGAATGTAAAACATTGCACATGAAGGTAAATGAAGGAGTTTGAGGGAGCAAACGCAATGTAGACACGGAGATTTTTGGCGTGGTTCCGATAGGTGGTGCTATCGTACATCCACGTTGATGGAGACTTCAACGCACGAAGGATAACAGCTGCGCGATTCCACGGAGGGCTCCACCCACGAAGGGTCCACGAAGAAACAACCTTGTCTATTCCACCATGACCATCGCCCACGAAGGACTTGCCTCACTAGGGTAGATCTTCACGAAGTAGGCGATCTCCTTGCCCGTACAAACTCCTTGATTCAACTCCACAATCTTGACGGAGGCTCCCAAGTGACACCTAACCAATCTAGGAGACTCCACTCTCCAAAAAGTAATAGATGGTGTGTTGATGATGAACTCCTTGCTCTTGTGCTTCAAATGATAGTCTCCTCAACACTCAACTTTCTCTCATAGGATTGGATTTGGTGGAAAGATGATTTCAGTGGAAAGTAACTTGGGGAAGGCTAGAGATCAAGATTTATGTGGTTGGAATAGAATATCTTGACCTCAACACATGAGTAGGTGTTTCTCTTTCAGAAAATGAATGCTGAAAGTGTACGTATGTTCTGATGACTTTCTCCATGAATGAAGACACGGTGGAGGGGTATATATAGCCTCCACACAAAATCTAACCGTTACACACAATTTACCAAACTTGGTGAGACCGAATCATGAAACTTGGTCAGACCAATTTAGTTCATAATGTGACCGTTAGGCATTTCGGTGGGACCGACATGTCAACTCGATGGGACCAATTTCTTTAGGGTTAGCGCATAACGTAATCTCGTGAGACCGATTACACAAACTCGGTGGGACCGACTTTGGTAATAAGCTAACCAAAGAGTTTGTCAGGCAAACTCGGTGGGACCGATTCGCTCATCTCGGTGAGACCGAAACGTTACGAAGGGGAAACAGAATGTTTGCATTGTGAACTCGGTGGGACCGATCGCTCATCTCGGTTAGACCGAAACGTTACGAAGGGAAACAAAGAGTTTGCAATCCCATCTCGGTGAGACCGAGAGCCCTATCGGCGAGACCGAAGTGACTAGGGTTTCTGGCAGTGCCTATGTCAAATGAACTCGGTGGCGCTGGATAGATCAAATCGGTGGGGCCGAGTTTGATTTTTAATTTGGGACATATGTGGATATGAGAAAGTGGCTGAGAGTTTTTGGAGCATATCACTAAGCATCTTGAGCAAGCAAGTCATTAAGCAACACCTCATCCCCTTTTAATAGTACTGGTTTTTCCTATGGACTCAATGTGATCTTGAATCACTAAAAATAAAATGTAGAGTCTTGAGCTTTAGAGCTTGAGCCAATCCTTTGTCCTTAGCATTTTGAGGAGTCCACATTCCTAATCCATGCCATGCCAATCATTGAACTTTCCTGAAATATTCATCTTGAAATAGCATTAGTTCAATGAGCTATATGTTGTTGATAATTACCAAAACCACCCAGGGATAGTTGCACTTTTAATCTCCTCCTTTTTGGTAATTGATGAAAACATATAGATCAAAACTTCGACAAATGATAATAAGATTGAAATACATCGTCGCTTTGAGAAGTATGTGATAAGCAAGAGCTCCCCCTAAATTTGTGCATTATTTAAGACTTGCTTTTGAATGCAAATGCACAATCGATTAGTATCATGGGTTACTCTTCCATGTCACATACATCTTGGTGGAGCGCTAAAAAATGATAGCAGTTAAAAGCATGCACTCATCACTAAGAAAAGTGAATGATCATATATGGATATAAGAGATAATATCATCCAAGCAAACATTAAAATAGCATATGAACAAACACATGATCATACAAGTATCTCACACGAGGACATAAGGTATCAAACAAGCACACTGTAAAGTTCAACCAAACAAATAGCAGGAGAGACAAAAAAAGGCAACACTCTCTCTCGAAGCCTATGATCTATACATATTTCTCCCCCTTTGGCAACAATTTACCAAAAAGTTCAAATATGCATAGTGCTATGTGTCTCTCAGGCTTGGTCTTCGGGAGGTGGTGTAGAGAGAACTCCAAGGATGAAGGCATCAGTCGATGTAGCTGGAGCTGGTGGAGTGGCTGCTGGAGGTGGCACTGAAGTTGTAGCTGTTGGTGCTGATGTGGTAGCTCTAGTATCTGGTACTGGCACTGCAGCTAACCTCTGACCTCTTGGCACTCACTGAAAAGCATTTGTAGTTGCCTTCCCTTTCTTCTCCTCTGCTTCCTCCCGGAGCTGCTCAACTGCTGTCTGCATCTCAGTCACTTCCAGATTAAGATCATAGAATTTTTGTTCAATGATCCTCTCCAAGTTCTCCTGATTCTGAGTCAGGATGGCCAAGCCCTTCTCAATCCTAAAGTTGATTGGATCAGATATCTAAGTTGATCTTGTTTACTCTTCAAGAACACTTGAGATGCCTCTTCAGCACTTAGCATCTTTGCAGCTTTTTCTGTCTTTGCCTTAGCTCTCTTCTCTTGTGCTTGCACTGATGAAGGTTCATTATCATCCATTACAACTGTGTTGTCTTCAAATTCTGGGTAGAGAGGTAAATGCTCCTTGTCCAACAAGTAAGTGCCTGTGCCCATCTTTGAGTTGATGAACACCTGAATGTGTGGAGCATACCCACAAGATCTTTTCTGGTTAGTAGTTGTCCTCTTGATTGTCTCTACAATCAGACTCATGACCTTGAATTTTTGAGGAACATCAAAAATGTGTAGCAAGTTTATTGGAGTGCTCCTACTGCCATCATCATAGCTGCTTGAGGGAATAGTGCCCTCACTCATTTGCACTTGCTCTTCGAATTTATTCTGGCTATCACTCTGGCCAGACATCTTGGCAGGCAAACTGACAGCAAACCCTGTGAATAGATATAGATGAGGTAGAGTAGATGAGAATCACAAAGTGCAGAGATTTTTGCAAAACAAATGAGTCAAAAACTTAGTTTTAGTTCTCTACTAAAATGATTTCGGAGCTACCGAATTGATGAACTCGGTGATACTGAAGCAACATTTGGAACCTAAACTAGTGAACTCGGTCAAACCGAGTCACAGTTCGGTGGCACCGATATTGTTAGGGTTTCATAGAGAATTGAACTCGGTCACACCGATTTGCAGTTTTCGGTCAGACCAAAGAGTGCATGTGCAATGGCCTAAGCCAAATCAGTGAGACTGATTTCTACAATTCGGTCGATCCGAGATGAGTTCAGCGGAGACCTAACCCAAAATTTTCAAATCAAACTTAACCTAAAGGAAGTTTTCTCTGGATAGATGCATGGCAAAGATCATGGCATTGACCTTGTGCTTAGAATCGGAGGTAAAAAGAGAGCACAAGGGGTCGAAATCATACCCTAGTTTGGCGGGAGTTCGCTATGGCGGCAACGGCGGAGCAGATTCTCGTTGACGGCGACAGAAACCAGCGGCGGGAGGTCGCTGGCAGTGAGGAGACGATCCGGAGACCCAAGGAGGCAGAGCAGGATACGCGCAGGCTGAGGCTTTTGAAGAAATTTCCAAAATCTCACCTGTGGATATATATATATATATCCTGACCCTGTCGGTGTGACCGAGTGGAACAACTCGGTGGCACCGAGATGCAGAATCGCAAGCGGTTACTGCAACTCGGTGTGATCGAAATGTTCAAATCGGTTGCACCAAGATGAAAACCTAGATCAACTTAGTGAACTCGGTGTGACCGAAATGGATGACTCGGTCATACCGAAATGCACAAAGAGGTTTTGGAAGTTTAAGTCTATGATGAATCGGGGACTCCGAGTGCTCCTCACACAGAGTGGTTCGGATCTGACTTGATCAAACTTTATGATGTAGCACGAATAGAGTTTGAGACGAGAAAATCATAGATAGCTAGAGGAGGTTCTTAGGCATTCTTGTCCATCCACTTGGCAAAAGAGAAAGAGCCAAACAATCAAAGCAACAAGTGGATGCCCTCGAATGAGTAAAATATGCAACC